GATGCCCTCATCCTTTTGAGCCCAAAATGCATTCACTTTTGGGCAAAAACTTTAAAACCAAATTAACCAACTAATTCAATCGTGTGAAGAGGTCCTTCTCGGTTTGCTTCTGACTTCTTTAAGTTTTTCAAGTAATTCGTTGCCCGTAGTAAAGACGTAGTAAAGTTTTGATCACAAGGTTTCGATCACCAATTTTTGATGAGTGTTAAAAGATGCGATATTCTGACACACATCTTTCGCCTCATCAGCATGAATCGATGCTTTTTCATACACGCTCCTAGTTTAAGCCTACTCGGGACATGATATGTTTTGGGACGTACGCCGAATATTTGGTTTTGAGTCATACAGCGTCGAAACTAACGCGAAATAGTTCCTGTGTGGCTCGGTCAGTGCGTTGGACTTTTTTTCAAAATTTGGCTACCACATTGCCGCGTGTCTAGATTTACATAGGTGCGGCAACCTAAAACTTATACATGATAATTGAAATTGATGCACAAAACAGAAACCTATATGTAAAGTAACTTGAATTACGTACATAGTAGATAGACTGTGAGTGCGCAGGTGCCGAACGTCGGGGTATAATGTAGTCGCTAATACGAGTCCCGAACTTCACCCAAACTTGCTTCAGCTTTATAAGAATTTAAGAACTTTAGAAAGCCAATATTACATCACAATAAGTTATGGTATATTCGCATAAACATGATCTTAGTATATTCCGTGTTTCAATAACATTACTAGAGTTGTAAGTAGCGTATTACGCCTTGTCCCTTCTAAACACTTTCACCTGGGCTCAGCACACACCATTGTTTTATGAAATCAGACGAGTCTACTCTCTAGGAAAACGACGTTAAACAAAACAGTCACTGACTGACAATAGCATTGAATAAAATTACTGTGTTGCCGCGAGATCTAGATTTTTATAACATTAGAAGGCAAACAATGAAAATGAAAGTGTTGATTAACATCAATATGTACAGGTTACGGAATCCCGTCTTTATGTTGCAAAACATGCCCAACTTTCTGTATAACCGGTCCCAAATATATATCAAAAACTTTACAAAAGAAAAAGAAATAAAACGTAATGACATGATGTTTTAGCTCACAACCCTAATGTATTGATAATTCAAATGACCGACTGCGTGTGCTAGTCAAACTACATATTAGTCGATTTATTACACTATTAGGTTCACAACGTAATTTCCAAGATCATTCCCTCCACCCCTCATGGGACCATCTCGTTTTTATATTATAGTTTATAGACAATTTTATTACAAAGATATTATTATGGCACAATACTTTATTTATGTTTTACCTACATACACACTGTTCGCCAATTGCTTGACGCAAAAGTCTTGTAATATGAGGTTAAGGTTACGGTGTAAAGTTAAATCGTTTCAATGCTACAAATAAAAAAAAAATTAAAGCAAAACGAGGAGACCATATAATGCTCACTAGAAGGCGAAATGTAAATAATTTACACGCCCTAATCGCGTCGGTACATGATTCCGACATTACGCGAAAAGTACGCAACTGCGATTGTTTAAAAATACAAAGACTTTTCTCCGTAGTGACAGTGAAAGAATTAAGAGAATACAGGAAGAAATGACGATTTCATCCGAAGATGTTGAACGTTGTTTTAATTACGCGTGTGCTAATGACTATTGTAAACATTTACCTTCCCTATAAAATCGGGTTTTTTCCTAGTGCTAACGTACCGAATACGCTCATACGAGTTAGATATAGTGTAGGAGTCGACTCGGATTTTGGTTTACAATTTTGCATCAGCGGCAGCGTTACGATGACAACTAATCTGCTGCTGCGAGGTATAGGATTTTGTACTTCAGCTTAAAATCATCACTCTTACAAGAGTGATGATTTTGTACTTCAGCCATTAACATATCTGCTACAACTCCTATACCTCGCAGCAGCAGATTAGTCGTCATCGTAACGCTGCCGCGTTGATGAAATTGTAAACCAAAATCCGAGTCGACTCCTACACTATTATTTACTCCTACCTATTCTTCTTTTGTTTGAAAGGGTATTATGCTCTTGAGGTGGTCCCTGCTGCTCCGGTTCCGGGTTCATTTCGGCTATCACAAATTACTAATTATTTTCCGAAATAAAAGTCGATTTTTCATTTGACACAATACATATAATCAATAAAACACCGTCACCATGACAGCCAGAAAGGAAAATATAAAATGTACAAAGAAGTCCGTAACTGTCAAAAAGAAGTCAGGATCTGATGAGGGGATCCCATGAAAATCGAAAACAGCCGATAAGCATTGAAACATTCAGCCGATTACAAATTTTACTTTGCAGATATATGTTACCTGATCCAGACAAATAAAAATTGTCACTGAAGAAATGTTCAAGTATCTAAGGATCCAAATTACTTTTTATTTATTCTTATAATAAAATTAAGAGAAGCGCAAGGGAAGTTGTGAATGTAGCCAGATAATTAAACGCAAAATTTTCTCACACACTCATAAACGGTAATAACGAAAGTTCCGTTGAGTTAATGAAACAAGTCCAACTTTTGTTGGCTAATCACACGTCTTTGCTTGAATTTAGCATTTCTGTGGAAGAGCGCCGTACTGCGAGTAACTCAGGTATAATTTCCTCTGCCACACTGGCTGTACCTCCTACCGTAAGAAAATACCGTGCCGCCGCCGCCGCTTCTCAAGGCGCAACAACTTACTTATATAAATTGCACAACTTTACTTATGATTGAGCATGTTATTTAGGAGGATCTTTACAACCGAAATGCGTAACGGTACTTTCGTAAAAATCCCCACACGAAATGGAATCCTTTTCGAGCGGCTAACAATTCCAATTTTAGTAGATACCTTCCGTACCATACCGTTCAGAAAGTTTCGAAAACTTTTTATTCAGTCAGAAAATAGAGTTTCAATTTCAATTGGTATACAAATAGTCATTCATGTCGATTGCCAAAACCTACTGCAATGCTGCTATTTTAACTTATAATTGCAACATTTTTTTTTCTAAATAACGGTTGTCATTATAATGGTATACAATACGTAGATATTAAAGTAGGGACATAACTTTATAATTTTGACATATATTTGCATGTCTTATTCTTTAAATATTGCATGCCAGAAATGGCTAAATGTGTGAAACAGCTTTTTGTACACATTATCATCAAGAATACTGCTTACCATATTTAAAGCAATAAATTTATTTATTTGAATTGAATTGAATATATTTGGTTAACGTCTTATTACTTCTATGAGTTCAGACTATTTCAGCGTATCTTCACGAAATTTGTCAGCTATTTAACATATGTAGCTATGTAACGTAGTAATTTAACGGGTTGTCGAGTACTTAGTATTTGACCAAGAATTATAAGAAATGTTACTTTACTATCATTAGCAAATTACAAGTAGCTTGCTTGTGTGAGCAATTATTTATTATAAGTGCTGTTTTTTTAGGATCAAATTTTATAACAATAATTCATTATAATAACACACGCTCAACATAGTCCCGCACTAGGGAAACCCTATGTCGTGAGTGCCATGGACACACACATAGACTACCATAAATTACACCCAAACTCACAGGAGAAATAAATGTAGGCCATACACATAATTCTCCCGGCCCGGGAATCGAACCTGGGACTTCTGTGTGGCAGTCCGGCATGGTAACCGTTCGGCCACAGAGGCAGTTAATTTTAAAATTATATCTCATTAAAATTATATATTAGAATATTCTAAAATTTATATTAAAACTTAATATTTCGTATTAAAATTTATATGTAAGTATTTTATTAATAAGTTTCGTTCTTGAAATGAAATAATGTTCTCTAAGCATGCTCTAAAATAGGTTAGTTTTATATTAATAGAAATCTTCGCAGTTAAGGTAGTTGGATATCTGTACATACTGATAATTTCCCATTTGAGTCATACAGCATCGTAGTTTATTTTAGAGGTCATATATCGACCCAGCACAAAAGATAAACAAAGTAAGTACCGATAGACTTTTATATACATATAAGGTAGTCGTTAAAAACAATTGCGTAACAGTAGCTTAGTACCAGTAAAATGTGATAAACGGTCACTGGTCTCTGGCGATACTGGATCGACAAACTGTAATTCGTGGAATGAATAACAAAGTTTAATAAAAATAAAAGTTCCGAATGTGTACAAAATAGAGAAAGTTTCAAATCGATCCGTAACTGTTTCTTAAATTAAATATAAATTGAGCGTTTATGTAAAAACTGTCCAGAAACTTTCTCTTGAGGATATACCTCTATACAGACACACACACACATACATTCATTTTGTTATACATACACATATACACACCTATTAAATTGCGACAACTTATTGTATACATATTTTATTGCAAGGGTATCGACTATTAATTAGAGACGCAATAGGTAGGTAGCGAGTTGGGTAGCTACTGAAACTACTTTATGAACATAAGTCTTAGCTGTTAAACGAGCATAAAACTTGTTTCATTTTCTCTTATTTGGTGTTTATTGCGCGTGCAATGTAAACAGGTAATTACACATTTTAACAATCACATTTTTTAATCATATCCCTATTCGTGATGGTTCAGCAACTACGGACTCGTTATACATAAAATTATACCTAGGAACAATACCTAAACTAGCACTACAACTATACCTAGTTGTGAAGGCACTTCACCAACCTTCGATGATTGTATGTACGAACATGACCCAATATACTATGAAGTGTACATATTTATAAACGATAATTATTACAATTTAGAATCGTAGTGATGATATTGCGCATAGTTATGTATTACACAGGTTTATGGAATAGGTACGTACCTTCTTAAAAATAAAAATCAAAGATAACTAAGAACTAACCAAACATTTTTCTTTCGTAGAATTTGCATTAGCAACTGGAGTCAAACAAGCACAGTACACAAAGTGTCAAAAGTTACCGCTACGGGACAGAGTGAGAGTAATTTCTGCAAATTAGTACATACCTATTATAAATTACTTAACATACCTGGAGTCAAACTTGTGGCCGTTATCGAGAGTGCCGGTATATTGCATGGTGAGCATGTCCCCATGTTTGGACTTCACAGAGCATAGTTCTGGCACGCTGATCACCTCGACTTTAAGTTCGGTGACCTCTTCACCTGCAAACGTGGCTCCGGCTAAAGCCAGTACCACAAGCACGCAGCGTAATGTCATAGCGAATTACGAAAAGTTATGAGCTGGTAAAGTGAACACGTACGCTCCAAGCTGCGGATAAGAATCAACTGAGCGGGTGGGTTCCGTCGGAGTTCCGGCAACTTTGGATTCGGATAAAGTTTGCTATTTGCATCAACTGTACACTCAACGGTACACTTTGTCTCACTCTTTACCGCCGTAATCGAGTACGATGGAGCGAGACAGCTCAATAGTAATCAGTGCGCCACGGCAGCGGCAAGGTAGGTTGAAATGACGCGGCGGTGCCTCTTCGCGCCTGCCACGCACGACACGCGAGCGATGACGTGATCGCTATTCCGCTGTGTTCCACTTTTACCGAAAACTTGCTAAGTCGGCTATAAAAATTCAAAATTGTTACACTCAAGTCACAAACGATACACCGTCATAATCACATTTATCAAGCACAAAAGTTATAACCTAAACTTTAGCTTACAACGTGCAACCAAAGATTCTTTAAGTCAAAATCTTTAAAGTGCTGGCACAATCAGGTCAGTGCTACAAGACTAACTTAAGAAAGTTATAATAAAATGTCTACTTTTTGCACATAGGCGGTACCCGCTTTAAGGTTTCGCCAGGACTTCGCTTATTTTATTATATTATTTTCTTATTCTTCTTCTTTTAAACGTTATGGCCCCATCGAAATAATCTATGATTTCGCCAATGTCAAGTAAAAACAACTATAAGCCGCAGTTTTATAAAAATAATATAACAATTATGGCAGACGCCGTTAACAAGGCCGGTACCTCCCACCTTATATTATTTATTAAATATATTTTTAAATTATAGCCGTCAATGTCGCCTTTTTACTTATTAATAATATTTCCTTAATGACGGCCACTAGGCTTGCGTCAGTGTCAGTTTTTATGAATAATATAAAAACTATGGCGATCATCGCCAGTATCAGTTTTTAGTTAATTGACCCAGCGTAAGTGGTGGCTCTTTGAGATTTGAGCAATGTCAGATTAAAACTCTATCAACCATACTGTATGAAACTATCTGTCAGATTGTACAGACAGCGTTAAAATTATCTTACTTGCTGGTACTTTGGACATTGTTTATATAAACTTGAAAGTAAACAATTTTGTCTATGAATAGAGCGCACAAAATATTTTCTAACAAAATTCTAAAATAACATTTGACAAAATTCTAAAAATTTTACTTAGTTCACATAAATTAAGTAAATTGCCCCTAATCTCCCATTTTTATTTGTACTCTTGAAACAAGAAGTTTCGAACGCGTCACTTAATTTGCCATCTTGGATTGAAGATGATTGGTTACGTAGGGGGATCATAAGTAGTTACTTGTGGATAAACCACTGCTTGACACTAATAAATACACATTAGACCCGAAGACTTCAATCTACTAGTACATAGATATCTTGCTTAGACCTAACAATATTAAAGGGCTTGTGTGCAGCTGGCGCGACGAGGCTGGACACTAGGAACATTATGTTTTCATTACGCTGTACTGAATCAATTTTAGAACATTAAGTATTTACCCATATACATGCATATACGTTTCACTTCTAGGCCTGGACCTTCTCCATAACTAAATTATTTTTTGATGTCATTGTGTAATTTATACGTACCTATTATTGGTTTTCAACAGTAAAAGGTACAAGAAGTTGCCAGGGAGTAGATAATATCTGTGCTATTAGAGGCTTTAATATACACGCAATCATAATTTAACCTACATACCGCCGAGATCATCAACGTAGTATTGATCTTACACTATGTTCAAGTTTCTTTAACTCTGCTGAGCATAACCGACGGATAAGTTACAAATGCCGTCAGTTTCCATCAGGTGAGATGGAGGTTATGTACGAATACGGATTGATGCTGATGATGATTGTTTTACGATTTCAATGATGTCCTCTGGTTTTGTGATTATGCACTGATGTGAACCATGTTCTTTTGTAAGTAACCAGCAAGGGTCACTCAAAACGAAAAGATTTTTTTTTAATGGAAATTGTCAAGTGTTCTGGCAGAAGTGTGCGAAGCGGCGTTGTTGTGATGCCAGAAGAGTTTACGACTATGTATAACTTGCCAGTATCAAACAAATGAGTAAAGAGTAGATATCTAATTGTTAATAACAAAAATCGAACAAAAAGAACCATTCCTTCGATCTGACAGGACTCGAACCCGTGTCTGTTTTGCCAATCTAGGGCGCCAGCCCTATCGATAGATGAAGTCACTAGAGACCTCACGAAATTCCCTGTGCCTTTGTTACAAACTTAGAGGATGGAAAAAAGTCTAAGATTGAAAAATCTTTCTCTTTGGTTTTAACGGCGTTTTTTGTCGTAGCTATGAGCAGGGCTTGGAATATCGGTATTTTCAATAATTTCACTAAAAAGAAATGATCATCATGGTAGAAAAACATCATAATATTCATGAAAAATCAATATTACAAAGAGTAATTCTAATTTCTTTTATTAATTGATAATATAATTGAACCCATAACTAAATAACCAACATGGATCATACGTTACAAAGATTTAATACAAAATTAAACTAAAAAGTAAAAAAAAAAAGTAGTACGAATAAAAATTAAAATTAAAATAAATAATAACATAAATAAAACAAAATGAAATTACAATTATACTATTTTAGATTTAGTCAATAGATGTACCATGTTACAATGGTTCATGTATTGACAGTCAAAGCGTTCAGCAAATGTCTTTAGGATACTGTTTCGGCTGACCTGCACCCTGCGCACCCGAGATGTGCACCGCATGCGCATGATTGCATGGAAGCAACCTACGCGCGCTTCAGCAAACATCCCCGACGCGTTGAAGAAGCGAGGCAGCACCAACAGCGCCCTAAATGCATTATTGTGCTGGACACGTAGCGCGTTGTATTATTTTAAATTATATTTCACCCACAGACTACTATTACTACTGTAGAAGGCTTACTGCCTGACCCTTCTATACTAGTAGTATAGAAGGACGTACAAAACATTGACGTCACTCGAACATCGAGCAAATCTGCGGGCTATCATATGAGCTCTAACAGACAACGCCCTACGCTCGCTCTCCATGTCAGCATCATCCTCCAGGCCCGAGGTTACAAAATGTCCAAGATACTTAAACTTGTCCACTCTATTAAGAGTACACCCGTAAAGTTTAACAGATAGTATTTTATCTAGACACCCACCCCGAGCTTAGACGACCATGCATTCACTTTTTTCACATTATAATAGCAAACCGTGACTGTCAGCGTCAAGTACCTTTGCAACTACTATGGCCAATGAGATGGGTCGATAATTACTTTTGTCACTATCGTCACCGGTCTTGCTCTTAACTATCGGCATCACCACAGTCCTCTTCCTCTGAGCAGGTAGGTATGAGTGTCCCACATATGTAGAGTAAAACACTGCCAACACCCTGGGCAAATGGCAACCTGCATATTTCAGGTGCTCGATGCTAAGGTCATCGTGACCAGGAGACTTGCCCCGTAGACATAGATTTTTTTAATTTGATTGACATCTTGTGCCAAAAAACGGACATTGACCTCCTGACCACTACAACCAACACCACGCACCACACATAGACTGTGACGGTCCTAATGGTGACCACGGTAAAGTGGTCCCCAAGCACCTCCGCTTTTCCCTTTAGATCGCTTATACCACCTACACTCACCAGTACGCCCGGCTAGCTATTGATTTTGTTTGCTATTGAAAATCCTCCGTCTCGTCTACATCTCATTCCAAACACGACCCCCCGCGGCCTCTCGTATAACACCCATAACTAAAAATTATGCCCAGCTTCCTTATGCGCGTCTCTCACATGCGTATTCCATCCTATGACAGGTTTCTTACTACGAGCATAGTTTCGCACGCACGCACGCAAGCACGCAAGCACGCAAGCACGCAAGCACGCAAGCACGCAAGCACGCAAGCACGCAAGCACGCAAGCACGCAAGCACGCAAGCACGCAAGCACGCAAGCACGCAAGCACGCAAGCACGCAAGCACGCAAGCACGCAAGCACGCAAGCACGC